GCTCTCACAACGCACAACGTTGCCAACCTCAAAAAAACCATTTAAATTATAAAAAACCAACAAAACAAAAACAAAACAACCTTAAAAAAAAACCAAAATTGTGCGTATAGGAATTCTATTTCACAAAAAAAAAAAAAAAAAAAAATTGAAATTACAGATCATTTAAAACTGTATCAGCCTGCTAATCCATCTTGTACACCAACCCTGGAGAGGGGGGAAGAGCCCAGAGCGGGACCCCCCGGGACCCCAAACCTCGGCCCGCACCGACACCAACGGCTCCTTATCCCCGTTTCTAACCAAACCTAACACGAAGGCAGCGGCGGGCAGAGCCCTGGCAGGACACGGAACCCCCCCCGGCACAAAGGCAAACGTCCAAAATAAACCTCGAGGGGGGCTGCGGAAGGGCAGAGGCAGCGAGGACGGGCAGAACGGGGCCAGGGTCCGCCCGCCACCCGCCCCGGGGGCTGGTGCCACCGGTGGGGACACCTCAACCAGGGTGATGAGTCCAGGAAACATGTTGCAAAACCCAAAAAGAACAGAACTGGGGGGACGGAGGAACGAAACCATCCGGCGACGAGAAGGCAGGGGGGGCAGCGGCCGTCGGGGTGACCCCGGTGACATGCGGAGCTCCCGGTGGCTCCGTTATTTCCGACAGGTCCGGTGCGGCGTCTGCTTCTTCTGCATCTCCAGCCGGCAGCGGCTGCGCTCGTCCAGCCAGGGCAGCTCGAAATTCCTGCGGGCAGAATCATAGAATCATAGAATGGTCTAGGTTGGAAGAGACCCTTGGGATCATCGAGTCCAACCATCTCCCCTACTCTACAAAGTCCTCCCCTACACCATGTCCCTCAGCACTGCATCTAAACGGCCCTTAAACACAGCCAGGGATGGGGACTCCACCCCCTCCCTGGGCAGCCTGTTCCAATGCCCGACCACTCTTTGGGTGAAAAATTCCTTCCTAATGTTCAGTCTAAACCTCCCCTGTTGGAGCTTGAAGCCGTTCCCTCTCGTTCTGTCACTAAT